GAAGGTCGTGACGTCCACCCCGTGCTGCGCTGCGCGGCGTGATGAAGTATTTGTGTGCGAGGCTGATGCGAGTGACATTGGCACGGGCGCGGTGCTCTACAACATGAAGCCTGGTGGCAATCCGTCGGACATGAAAGGTCTCAAACTGGTGGGGTACTACTCGAAGCGTCTGTCAAGCGCGGAGCGGAACTACAGCACGACGGATAAGGAGCTGTTGGCGATTGTGCGGGCAGTGCGTCGTTGGAGACATCTGCTGACGGGATCCAGGCACAAGGTGATTTTCAAGTCGGATCACAAGAACTTGGTGAACTACCAGAACTTGGAGGTCAGGAACTACCGGATGGCGCGATGGATCGAGGAGCTCAGCCAGTGCGATTTCAAGATTGTGTTCACGGCTGGTGTGTCGCAGCCTCTGGCAGACTGCCTGTCACGCAACCCAAACTTTGAGGGCAGTGTGCGAGGCGAAGCCGCTCGCAAGGCGTTCACGCCGGGTCAGCTGGACAGCACGGTCGCGGCCGCAGCCACAGTGGCGAGCACGTCGGCTGGAGCAGGTCAAAGCGCAGCGAAGGCGGTGGCGGCGGAGGTGTCGATCGAGGATCAGATCCGCGCACAAGTTGGCACCAGCCCCCCTGACCAGAAGTTGCAGAAGCTGCTCGGACTCACGCTGGCTGATGGCCTTTGGAGAGATGGGAGCAAGCGCATCTACGTCCCGGAAGGTGACTGTCGTCGACTGGTTGTGGCCGAGTGCCACGATGCCAAGGGGGCGGGTCATGGTGGCAAGCACCGCACGAATTTGCGTGTCAAGCAAACGCATGTTTGGCACAACATGATGGAGTACATCGAAAAGTACGTGGCTGGTTGCACTCTCTGCCAGCAGAACAAGCCGTCGCATCTCAAGCAAGCTGGCCTGAACGCATCGATCGAAGTGCCTGCTGGTGTGTGGCAGGATGTGGCTATTGACTTGGTCACGGATCTGGTGCCGTCGAAGGATTACCGTGGGCACAAGCACGACGCGGTGCTCACTGCTCAGTGCTTGCTTTCAAAGCAGGTGCATCTCATCCCGTTTTCCAAGGATAGCAGTAGCGCGATGGTGACGAGGGCGCTCATGGATCGCGTGTTTGCGTACCATGGGCTGCCCAACACGCTGCTGCACGATCGTGATTCACGGTTCCTAGCTGAGCACATGACCAGCATCTGCAAGGGGCTTGGCATTAGGCAGCGGGCGTCAACGTCGTTTCACCCCAACACGAACGGGTCTCTTGAGCGACAGCATGCAGTGATGGCTCAGGTTTTGCGTAATTACGTGAACCACAGTCATGACGATTGGGTGGAGTTGCTACCCTGGGCCGAGATTGCCATGAACTCGTCGGTCAACGCAAGCACAAAGGTGACGCCGTTCATGGCGAGCCAGGGCTTTGAAGCTCGGACGTCATGGAAAATTACTCCTCCTGAACGAGAGTCGGACGTTGATGAGCACATCGCGCTCATTCGTACGATTGTTGAGGACACCAGGAAGGAGTTGGCCCGAGCGAATGAGCTCAGTTCGGCCAAAGTGGACAAGCATCGGACTCCCGCCCCTGGGTACCAGGTTGGCGACAATGTGTGGCTGGACACGCGGCAGCTGCGTCTCGAGACGGTGGCCACGAAGTTCAACCCGACGTACATTGGTCCGTTCGAAGTGCTCGAGGCGGACAAGCACACCGTGCTGCTTCGCCTGCCAAAGTTCATGAAGCATCATCCTCGCTTCCATGTTTCACGGGTCAAGGCCGTGGGGGCGGATGGCATACCTGGCCGGCCAGTGTCCGAGCCTCGTCCCATTCACATGAAAGGCGAAAAGTATTATCAAGCGGAAAAGATTGTTGATTCTTTTATTGACAAAGGAACGCTCTGGTACAAGGTCAAGTGGACAGGCGTGGAGGAACCGACTGTTGAGCCGTGGGAGGTGTTTGGAGAACACCATCGAATGACGGAGGCATTTCATAAGGCTAACCCGAACAAGCCTACTCGGGAAAGTGCCAAACGCAAGAAGCGCTAGTGCTTTGGGAATGTCTCGAAAGGGGGGGAAAGAAAGGCGGAGTGTTATGGATTGATGTGTATCTGTATTTGGAGTGTGTTCACTCGTCGCTTTGTATAAGTGAAGTCTCTTGTTTCCCTATCATCACTCTCATCATCAACCCATTACTCGTATCTTCGTGGAAGGATCTCTGATCATAACAGTTGCTTCACTTTGACAATAGCGCTGCTTTGAAATGTACTGCTTTGTGGACATGCACATTTGAATTTTGGAAGCTGTTGCTGCTTCACTCGTCCATTTTCACATTCAACTCGAACCGAAAAACAAAAGCATGGCTGCTGGCGATTCCATTCAGGCTGCGATTGCCATTGCAACCCACCCGGCCACTCGGTACAGAAGGCTCTTCGCTCCTCGACTCTCTTCTATTCTCTCGCTTGTTTTTGTATTCAAAGAGTGTGGGTGATGTGAGGGAGAGCGACCGGACGGAAGGGGGTGGGGGAGACAAGGCCCTTTCATGGCTCTTGTCTCTCTCTCTCTTGGCCGTCGCTCCACTGTTTGCCTTTGACTTGCATTATTCGGGAAGGCGCGGGCTGAGTGAGAAAGGAGAGCCGCTCTTCTTTTGATATTGATGCATGCATTCGATGGTGGTGGCTCCAATGTGGAGCAGCAATGGAAAACTCTCATCAATGCTTCACTTCACTCAAATCCATGTGTCGCTCCCCGACCAACCCTCACATCCTGACTCCAACCCATCAAAGCACACAGAATGGAACGATTTTGACATGGATTGAATGATTTTTGTTTGCTGGAAAAAAAAAAAAAAACTCACGCTTCGATCTTCAATTCAATGCAATTGTACTGTAGGGCACTGCTTCGTGATGCTGCGCTCTTTGTCGCAACCGTCTACACTCTGCAGAACTTTGGCACCGCGCTCGCCATCTGAACAGAGAGCACACTAAACACATTCATAGCTGTTGCGAAAAATTTGTAGAGTTGCTGCGCTTCCAATACAAACTGATTTGCTGGTTGTTTTCATTCTGTTGAATTGAACAAGTCCTCGCAAGAGGTACGATTACTTCACACGCTGCTTTGTACAGCCAGCTTGGCTGGCAACTTTTGTTACAGTGGATAGGCAATCCCACGAAGGTGCGGCTCGCCAGTGGCGGCCTGAACGGCAAACGAGCAGTACCGAGCGTTCCCCTTCACTGGGATTTCCTCGTCAATAAACGCTGGCAACCCGGCAGGTGCGGCCTGCTGCTTGGAGCCTGTGGCTGGTGCAGCCTCGGAGGCTGGCAGCAGTTGTTGGCGCAGTTCGACGCCACTCGCCGGCAGGAAGAGCGGCGCCTTGAACTCTGCCACCATCCGAATGGGATGGGTCGAGGTTGGCTTGCGCTTTTGCGCATCGGCCTGACTTTGCTCGCCGTACCGATGCTCGAAAAGCTCGGCGGTTGCCCGTGCCAAGGTGTAGACTCCATGCGCGATGGGGCGGTTGTACCTGCGAGCGAATATCCAAATGAGCGTCGGTTGTGACGATCAAAATCCAACAAAAAAAGAAACCACTCCAGAGTCCAGCAGACACCCAAGTCCCCGCCATCACAACACGACAATGGCTTTTTGCAACCCACATACCCAATCAATCGCGACGTAAAAGGATACAAGTGATGGAGATTCCAATCGCCACTGAGCTGTGCAAACTTGACGCCAGTGTTTGCTGGCAAGACCCAAGTGCTGATGCCTGTGTGTCAAGGAAGTAGGGTGGACAGTCGGTGAGGAATATAAGAGACAACCCAAAATCCCAACTCAGGCAATTGAGAACGCAGACGCGCACCTGTTGCGGAGAGCACAGGCGGTCTTGGAGTGGATGAGCGCGCCTTTTTCGACCGTGACACAACCAGCAGCGTGGTGGCGCACTTCCAGACCACATCTTCGCTGCCTGAGAGCGTGGCCAGAGTGATGGTCTCAATCTCCAACCCTCGGCCTTCAACCCATCGGAAGCCATCAACAAACATCTGCATATCAAAGCGCAGCGAGCGGTCGTCGAACGAAAGAGACCTCGTTTGCACAACGTCGGTTCGCACGTGAATGTGCCCGAACGCGTTGATAGGGTAGTCGGGATGTGTCAGCAGCATGCCTGCCAGCGGCAACGACATGATCTCGAGGAAGCAGAGCGACTCTGCCTGCTGAGAAGCGGCTGTGGTGTACTTGCACATGACACGGTACTGCCGAAGCATGTCAGGATCGACGCTGGAGCAGATACGTAGAGGAAGGAGAAAGGAGCGCGCGTGCAGGCGACACCAAAACGAGACACCAAAAATCCAGTGAGCAATTCGGCAGCAACAAACAAACAAACAAACAAGCAAAACAGAAGGACGCCAAACCATACGCAAGGTGAGTGCCTTGAACTTGGATGGCTGGAATGATTGTCTTGCTGCTCGCGCGCGTTTTCGACAAATAGCCCACAAACGCGCGAACGGCGATCAGGGCAAACGACGGGAGCTGCGCATTGGTGCGCACACTCTCCATCCGCTTTGTCAACAAGTTGAACAAATGCATGACCAAAAAGTTGGCGAGCATGGCCATGGGGGCAGAGTGCCCAAAGCTGAGCACCAAGGTCGAAATGGTCACGCTGAACAGGGCCAACACTGTCATGCGCGCGGCCTGTGATGGCGGCGATGTGCTCAGCTGAGGGCGCTGCATGGGAACCTTCTCGGGAGCTTGCGCAACAGATGTAGTGGAGTTGTTGGTCGACGAAGACGTGCTTGCTGGAGAATCGCTCGACGACGACGGTGGTGTGGCAGGTGACTGGGTACGCTGCCATGGCGTGAGGTCTAGGAAGACCAGCGTTCCAACAAAAAGCATGGCGGAACCAATCCAATGGGAAGACGTGAAGGGATTGCCAAAGTAAACGATCGACAGAAGAAGCGATGCAAACTTGCGCAACGTGACTGTCAGCGTGACAACGAGCGAGTTGGTTACGCTGGTCAATTCAAAGACGCCGCGAACACAAATGTATCTAGTGAATTAAGCGCAAACAGTTGGAGCAAGTGAGACGCCGATGCTCATACTTTGCCGAGAGCAAAAAAGCAAAAAAACACTTGCAGATCGCACACGATCAACCACGTACTGTGTCACGACGTTCAACAACAGGAATACCCATAGGCGCGGAATGGGAACAGTTACTTCGCACAGAGCGAGCGAGCCGGGAGCCTGTGCCAGGACGGGCTGAGCAGCATTCCAAATGGCGCGCAACGTTTCTGAAGTGCCAGCCGTTGCTGACAGCGGTCCAGGAGCGAGGCAGGCCATTTGCACCAGGTCAGACCCTGAGAGCAAGCTCTCTGCCACACTTGGGAACGGAATCCACATGGAGAGTCGTGGAGACTGGTTGAAAATCGACCAGTGGTCGATCAGATTGCCCAGGATGACAAGAAACCCTGGGAGGGCGAGAAAGTGCTGTTTGAGCCCAGCAGTAAATAGTTGTCATGGCGGGCAATGAGAGACTGCGTGTCAAGAACGTTGCAACAGTACAGCGGGGGGGGGGGAAAAGAAAAAGCAAAGCGCCCGAAAGAGTCGGAATGATGCTGGCTCAATGCGGCGGCCTTACCGAGTAGAACAAACTCTCCCGCCAGGACTTGCCATACCACGAGTGCAAGAGCTCTTGGTAGATGCCGAGCAAGGAAGACACAAACAATGAAACGACGAGCAGTGTGACACCAATCACCAAATCCTCCACACTTCCGTCGGACTGAGCGCCGGAACTGGATGCGTTGGCCGACGCGATCGTACACATGGCAATGCCGCAGGATACACACACGACGGACAAGATCTTGACGAGCGAGTATCTGCTCCAGCAATATCCAAGCCGTAAGCCGTGAGAGCGCTACCGCAAGACCTGACGCAGAGGTGACGCGGCTCTACCTACCGCTTTCCAAGAAGCATGGCACCCAGAAGCATGTTCGTGACGAGCGAACCCGAGCGGAAGATCAAGTGCAGTGGGAGCGAAACGCGATAGCCAAAGACGAGATTGTTGACAACGCTGGTAGCGAAAAAGAGCGCGACCAGGAGGGCATAGTGCCTGAGATCAAACCCAAAAACACCCACCGTCGAAAACAAATGGCACAGTGCAATTGCATTTGCGTTTTTGAGTACGAGGTGAGTTGGTGATTGTGTGTACTGCAATGCAATGATGCGGCAACGAGACGCAGCACAACGAACTGACCGAAGTGGGATTGTTCGAGAGCCGAGCAGGCCCTTGCGCACATGGAAGACCAGGCCTTCAAGACCCACAAAGGCAAACTGGGCAACTGTAATCAAGTTGCCTGCAGCCGGATCGTCTCTGTTCAACGACAACGAGCGCGGGAAAAAATGAGTTGACAAGTCAAGCAGCTGTACAGAGCACCCAAACAAACAGACGCCCCGAGTCTGGATGGAATGCCCATAGGGACTGAAGCAAGATGGGAGGTACCTGACAATGTACTCGAGGAAGACGACATTGGCGCAACATCCGACAAAGACAGACAGGACGGGCACAAGCCAGGGCGGGAACATGGATGATAGTTCGAGCACACTCGCACACTCGCACCCACTCACAGCACAGCACACACCAAAAAAATTACAAAAGTGAACTGAACAAAGAGTGAACGGGACTGGAATGGCCTACACTGTACGAATGGTGATTGCACGATCGTCAACATTCATTGGTGCATTCAAGTTGACAAAGTCAAACAACTCGTCAAACTCTATTCGGATCAGATGTCTCTCAATCACTCGCGTGTGTATTATTGTCATACATGAACAACAACTGAAACATAAATGCAAGAGCAGCAAGTCGGGCCAACAAAAAAAGCATGCAAATGACGCGCAGCGTCGCACGTCTGATTGTTTCCACACACCTGCCACAGTCGCACAGAACAGATCACAACAACGGCAGGACGTGCAAGGGAGGACAGCACGGAGAAACAAAAGTTGAGGAAAAGCCTTCGAGGGCATCGAGGGTAGCAGCGACAAAGGCCCAGCCATTGTCATAGGGTGACTCGAGAAAGAAATGCCAAGCAAAGACTGGCAGTAGGCCAACAACAACACCAGAGGAGCTACGGAAGGAGCGGGGGGGGGGGAAAGACGAGCTCCTGCAGAGCGCGCGCGAGAGGGATAGGGACAGAAAAAAAAAAGCGGGCCTTTGTCGGGCCTCGGGTTCGATGAGACAAAAGGAGGAGGTTGATTAAACCCTCTCCCTTCACCCAGACGATAATAAGCGGAGGGCAAGAAACACAAACAAACAAAAAAAAACACGAAAAGAAAAAAATTCACAAGTTAAAAAAGTGGAGAGAACAAGAAAACAAAGAAAGCGACACTCTTCACAGCACTTCCGAGTGCTTTAGTTGTCGGGCAGGACAATGATAGCACCCTTCTGGCTTCGGTTGGTGAAGTTGTTGTTGCGAGAGCTAAAGTAGTGGTAGGCAGTGGACCGAGCAGGCGCGTCCTTGAAGGCAATGACAACGCCCTGGACGAACGAGGCAGGCGCGTTGTTCAGCAGCTCGTTCATTTGGTCCTTCGTGTTGACGTCAGTGACAGAGCGGTAGTAGCCAGACGTGGCAAGGGCGAGAGCGCAGTTGACCGAGAGGCCGTTCGAGTTGCCGCCCATGGCGTTCGACTTGATGTCAAAGCAGTCAATCTTCTTGTGGATGTTGCACACGTCGTTGACGCTCTTGTCCAGCGGGATGGGGTAGTTGTCCGAGGCAGAGCACGCGGCAACAAAGCTGCTGCGGTCCGTGCCACCAGTGCCTTCGCCGGCATCACCAGCCTGACCGTCGCCAGCGGGGTTGCCGTTGTTGTGCGTGTTGGAGCCAGTCCACTGGATGTGGATGAGGTCGCCAG